ATCTGATTATGCCAAATATTTTTGTATTCATCAATTAAGGTCTAGATGTGCTAAACTAATTTATAAGTCCAAAAATTCATCGTTTAAATTATTCTAAGTCCAAAAATTCATTGTTAAAAATATTTAAGTCTAAAAATTCATCGTTTAAAATATTGCAAGTCCAAAATTTATTCATCGTTTAAAATAGTCTATGTCCAAAAATTATTCTAAGTCCAAAAATTCATTGTTAAAAATATTCTAAGTCCAAAAATATATCTTTTAAAATATTCTTTGTCCAAAAATGGCCTAAATTATTCCTGGGCAAATTTTGAGTAATAAATTTTTGTGTGGTTTTAGATATAAAACATTTGTGGCATTCTTAAGAGCTCCAGCTTGGCATCTGTGTATTATAAGGCATAACGGACTACCTGGTCTGGGGAGAGCAACTCACTGGGCCCCTACCGAGTTACTCTTCCCACGTCCAGGTAGTCCGTTATGCTTGTATTTTTTAATATTATTGGTGAATGATAATTTGAAAGTTTTCCTCCGGAGACTCTTCCGATTATCCTTTACCAAATTTTTTCAACGTTAGTCCTGGCAATGGCAAACTCAAAAAACACTTAAGGGTAAAAAAAGGGCAATTTTTTCGCCATTTTTCGCTCAAAATTTGCTATTTTTAGCCATTTTTTGCCATTTTTTCTGTATTTTTAGCTATTTTTTCCATATTTTTTGTATTTTTAGCTATTTTTTCAGGTTTTGTTATTTTCTTTAATTTTAGTTAATTTATATTTTTTATTTTTTTATATATTATTTTATTTGTTTATATATATATATTATATATATATAATATATTATTTATATATTTTATATATATTATTTATATATTTATTTATATATATTTTATTTATATACTGTATATATATATATAGTATATATATATGTATATTATTTTTATAGATTTATTTTTGAAGTTTATATATATTTTCATCTGTATATTATTTGTATATACTGTATATATATATATGTATGTATATATATGTTATATATATATATATGTATATATATATATACAGTAATAATATATTATTTATACTGTATACTAATACTAGAAAAAGGTTAATAAAGACTTAATGACATTCAGACATTTATTAATGGAAACTTAATGGCTATAAATTTGTAGTCCCAGGGGCAGCAAGCACACAAACCAAAGCCGTCCAGGGCATAGCCAGCATGCACAAACAGAGGCAAATCCAAGGCAGCAACCAACAAGCACAAACAGAGGCAAGTCAGGGCAACCTTTTACCTAGAGCAGAGCCGTCAAAGGGCAGCATGCTGGAGGCAGAGCCGTCCAGGGCAGCAGCCAGCATACACAGAGCAGAGCAGTCCAGGGCAGTAGCAAGCAAGTACAGGGAAGTCTAGGGCAGCAGCAAGTACAGGGCAGTGGCCAGTAAGCACAGCCTAGGGCAGCACAGCACTCCAGTGTTCAGAACAATACTGTACAAAATAAAATGTAAAATTAATATTCAATTTTTTTAACCATAAAATTTTTTTAATTATATTAATGACAAAATGTACTTTAGTGTTTTAGACAAAATTCCTTAACACTTGAGGACCAAATTTATAAACTACTTAGAGTACACATCTTGTAGGTAACTATGTACATTACTGAATTAAAGTCAAGCATTAACAAGACCAATAATTTTTTTACTGGGGTTATAAATTTGAGGTATTAAACGATTGGTCGAGAAGTTATAAGTTTCTGCCAATGTCCAGTTTTGGGGCTTTTAACTTTGATCAATTGTTATGACATTCCTGTCATCAATCAAGGATCATAGGTACAGTCGGGGTCAAAGGTGTTGAACACTTAGCAATATCTGTCATCTACTTCCGAGTTATATGATTGGGACATACTAATAACACTAATCATATTATGCCTGAACCACAAAATAGGATTAAACTCTACTTAATACCCAAGATCTTCAGGTACTTACATGCCAAATACTGTCAAGTGTTCAACACTTTTGACCAAGACTGTACATCAATTGTAGCCCCATAATCCCCTTTCCATATTCTAAACCCTTCACACATTTTCTTTTAGATATAAATTTAAGTATAATTTCTCCATTACTCTTTCTTTTGTCTTGAAATTTATAGCACCAAGAAATCTAGTATGGTCATTGAATAGCCCAGAGCAATTTGACTGTCTTTGGTTTTAAGGCTAAACTGGCAGAGAAATTCAAATCTGAGTGTTGGAAAAGTTCATTTTGACAGGCCAATAAATTAACTTTACTCCCCTGTAAGTGATCATTCCGAGGCCATTTTATATGTAATATCTTGTTTTTTGTATATTTTTACATCAACTGAACTTGTTATAATATTCTTTACCTGAGGTAGAGAGGAGGGGTGGAAGGCTGGGTCTGGGCTGTATCTTGGCACTTGCTTCCTTTAGATGTGTTGTGAATCATTTGCCATCCTGGTACAGCAGTACAAGATGAGTGGTACAGCAGAGTGCACACCTCTCCTTAATAAGGTCCAGAACCTACTGGAAGTAAAGTCCCAAGTTATTACCTATAAAAGGTTTCAAGCAAGATATTTTCACAATAATTTATCCTAATATACAGTATTGTATAACATGACCCTAAACGGAAGGTTTTATCCTCTATGGAAGTACCACATTAATCCACTTAATCTAGTACAGTAATTGAACTATCAATAAATTAGTAATGCACCATTAATGATAATTCACAACCAGATTCAAAGCTTCCCAATAATCTGCCGCCAGATTTAAAATGAACAGATTTTTTATAATTTAGGTCAATTTTATCATGCAGGTAAAACGGTTATGTCACTATATTATATATAGCCTCACCAGCAAAGCCAGACAATAAACAAAGCAAAATATCAGTTGAATAGAATACAGTACAGTTGTACTGTATTTAAATAAAGCAATTTACTCATGGTAGAGAACTTATTCACAAGTACAGTGGGGTATGCTATAACGAACGGATCCTACTACGAATATTCCTATAACGAACGGTTTTACCTATAAAATTGAGAATGCTATAACGAACGAAACTCCTACAACAAACATTATTTAATTTTTTTTCTTTTTTTTTCTAATTTATGGTTTTTTTATTACAAATATTAATGATATTCTTTATTTCAGGGGTTTAGATGCATATTTATGCACTTTCTTACAATTTTTACAATTTTATATTATATTTTTCAGTGCTAAGTGGTTGTATTTGGGGGCCTGGAACGGATTAATCCTATAACGAACGAATGCTATAACGAACAAGGTTCTAGAACCAATTAGATTCGTTATAGCATACCCCACTGTACCTCAGCTTTAGTAATAGTCTTACAGATTTCTTGAAGCTTGTTCCAATATACATTACTTACTGTTAATAGTCTGTTCATGTTAAATAACCCAGCCACCATCTGGTCTGGTGTTGGAAAACCAGCCAAAGTGCCCAGGAAAGAAATTACTATGGGAGTGAAAATGAAAGCAGTAAGGGTCGAGGCAGGGGAGCTTCAGGTCAGTAGGAGCGAGGCAACCGTGATAAACCTCACCAAGCTCAGAAAAAATTAACTAGCAAGTGTTACTAAATTGATATTCCTTTATTATTGATATTAAAATCTCCTCATGACAGCCATTGTTTATTGGTTTGAGTTGTCTGCATCAGCTTAAGGTTTACTTGTTGTTAGAGACTAATGGAAAATCCGCATATTGCAAAGCAACACTGACTTTTTTCTAATGTTAAAGACCTATTTTGGAACATTTACTCATTATTTACTCATTCTCTAATAAAATATAATTTTCAAAGGGAGTTATTTATCATTTTGACTAATTTTGTTAAGAACTCATCTCCAACCTCAACAACCCATCTTGTTCATTATGAGTTATGATACTGTACCAAGCCGTTCTTATTTCTAATTTGGGATAATATCGGCAAATAAAATATCTAATGTACTTTTACGATGCTACAGTATATAAAAATATTTCTCGTCGGCGACAGTCTACCAGATTATTTTTCTCTTCAGATGAAATAAAAGCTACTTTGTCTGGCATAATAATATATTCATCACCGTATACAGTAATTAAGTGCTGTAGACAGACCTGCACAGAGGTTATTGCCATGTTATCCAATCAGAACCTTAAGACAATGATCAGTGGCAGAGTGACATTTCCAGAAGTGAACAGACTAACTGGTTTCCGTAATTACTGTATCATACCGGTATTAAAAATGTTACCTAGCAATTTCTTAACCCAAAACAGACATCAAAATTGCATCAGCTAATAATTTGTTTCCCAATAATGATTATCCCACAAAATATTGATGTGTAGCCGATATCAATTAGTGAATTCCTAGTATTGTAGAATACGTCATTGAATTTACACTTGGAACAAGAGACAAACGACAAGGCAATCCATGGGTTACAATTACTGTACTTTATCGAGAGTTTAGTGAAGAAACCACAATGAGAGAAGCCATGTACTGTTACTGTACCCAACCTGACATTTTTTGGTGCAGTGCAGGGAGAGTTCATCAGAATAAAACTATCATTTCTTGCATCCTCCATCTTCAAGTCATCATCCTGGAATGAATAATTATTACAACTTCTGTGCTAATAAAAAATTAAACAGTATACCTACAGTACACTGCCTATATACAGTACAGTACATGCTACATCAATGCAGGTATCCCCCAATATTCAGTACATATGCCTGATAAACAATAGTTTCAAATGTCTACACGATACAAAAGTAAACAATAAATCCCATTTTGATGCCACTTTTATCTGAACATGAATGTAAAGATTTTCCCTCAGGAACTTAACCCCCAAAATACTATAATAATAAAGTAATACTGTATATAAATTACTTTCACTTAATGAATGCATTTCCAGGAACAAAATTTTTGTATATTGAGGGACACCTGTGAACTAGTTTACTGCATAAGTGAAGCATTACACAGCAGAACTTAAGCACCAAATATGAAAAGTGGAGAAAAACTCAGTTACGCAACCTTATTGTTACCGTAGCTCTTATGCAATACCACTGATTTTTCGACAATTAAGCTTGGATACAGTGTACAGTATTATGTAGTCATCCCCCTGATTATACTGGTTAACTGTCCCCTACATTGTTTTATATAACTGTACAGTACTAGATTATTGATGAACATTATGCAAGCTATGTGTTAGTGAAATATGTTTATTATATTTAGAGCTGTTGGTAAGAGTAAAGCATAGTAGCATTCAACATTTTCTCCAATTTCTTGAAAGAAGGCCACAACTTTAAAATACAAGAGTAACACAAACAAAACTAAGTTACAATTTAAAGAAACTAACATTTGCAATTATGAGTCGGACCAATCCAACGAATGTTTACAAACATCAACAGGCCATCAACCCAGAACATTAAATTGCAATTTTTTACAGCTACATGTACATAAAGTTCCTTGTAAAGTTTAATAAATATCAATTAAAAAACTAACTTCCACCATTATGACGGAGATAATCCACCTTCACTAGGTATAAATTTTATATGGAATACAAGTGTAGTTACTTGTAATAACTGTACTGGGAACAATGTACTGGACAAATTAAGATAAGGGTAAAATTAGTTTCGGCCAATATGCCCTAGTAGTTTAGAAATTAGTTTATCCTTTGTATATTTTGGCGAGATTTAATTGAATTTGACCTTTATTTCCATAGGGAAAAACCCGTTTTAGAGTTCCTCCTCATTAAGTCTTGTTGGATAGACACACAAGCAAATCGTCCCCCGATGACTGGAAAATGGCATTTGCAAGTCTTGTATTGAAACAATAACCTTATGAATAATTACAGTACTATATTGGCCAGCGAGTGATCGGCATATTGTGTAAAGGAAAGCCAATTGGTTTATGCCATTGTCCAGCTTATAGGCAAGCAAGGTGTGACTTAATACAAGTTTATATTTATGCCACAAGTCCAGAAAACTCCGGGCACCGAGTGTGAGCTCTTTCGTGGCTACAGTAATGTACTTGCCAACAGTGTAACAGCCATGACAAGCCAACAGTAACAACCAGTACTTGTGTCCGGATGCGATCGACCTACCCTAGACCAGTTGTAAAGATGGCAAACTCTACATTTCACTATAGAACTTTCTTACCCCAATAAATAAGCTGCTGTACTGTCCACACTGACGACCACTGAGGCAGCAAACTGGCCTTTAACACAACAGTAACAACCAACTGGATCCGTCATGTAAAAGAAAAATAGTAAAAAATACTTGTAACATACTTTTAATACTTAAGTTAAATCAATCCTGTAACATATAAGACCAAAACATACACTATGATGAACGTTATTAAAGTATGCGGAACGTTACTAAAGAATGATGAACGTTATTAAAGTATTCACAAAGTCTTACGTACGGTGACCAAAACTAAACCATATTTCATTCATTTCAATAAAATCATTTCAATAAAAGGATAAGCCAAAATAGTATTCTCGGAGTAACTAGTCAACGTGTTTACTAGCGTGAACGGCCATTAACCTATGCTTGTTCGTAATAAATCAACTGCCTTGTGTATCTTCTGTATTTTTTTAAAGGTCCATTTAAATTATTTCCCTTTAAAACCACTTGGTCCAAAATCGACAAATAAACAACCTTAATATATTGACCTTAGCACACGTATAGATTTAACCACTTTAAATAAACTGCAAATAAAACTTACTATGGATTTAAAAAACAGCACCGGTCAGGTGAGAAAGACGACCGGCAGCACCTACTCCCTCTGTGTCTCAATGACTACTGCGCGCCGGTGGTGAATCACCTCATTATATAGTCCGTCCTCCTGCCAAAAGCTAACCCGAATGAAGGAATCTTAAAAGATAGAGGCAAACTTCATCGTACATACAAATTTTAGGGTAAATTAGTCTAAATCATCGTGTTAAATAGTTACAATAAGGAAAACTTTCGGAAAAATAAATAGAAATAAGAATATTGTACAGTGCGCAAAGTTCGTCAGCTTCGGAAAGGCCATGTGTTGACGAATCAGGGCGGCCAACATTACTGATTTACTCAATTATATCAAAAAATACTTTAATATTACTAACCCATTTGCTTTTATCTAAGAAAAATATAATACTTTGCAAATAAATTAATTCTTTATCTCAAGAAACCTTACGTGCAAAAATATAGACGAAGTACTTCCCTGACTACAATAATGGTAATTACCTTACCTTACTGGGTGGTTACCGCTGATTAGTAATATATAGATACATAGATGCAGGCGCTCTAATCTCTCAGGGTAGCTGAGGTGCCGAAGTGCAGGCACCAGTCTAGTGGCCCTCCTTTGGACATTTTCAATCAGCTGACAGTCCCTAGCATATCTCGAGGACCAGACGGGGTGACAGCAGTGCATTCCAGGCGGGGAAGTACCTCACCTTTTCTTCGGCACTGTTTCACACCTAAGGCTGGGCATCAAAGGTTATATCCTTAATTGCCTTAAACTGTTTGCTCAGTTACCAACAGTGCGTAACAGAGAGTCAGCACATGCCCACAGTGCCAACAGTACGTAACAGATAACCAGTACATGCCAAGTTGCCAACAGTACGTAACAGAGTCAGTATATGGCAATAGTACGTAAGAGAGATCCAGTACATATACAGTGCTTAACAGAGAGGTGACAGGCCTTCCAAGCGGCTAACAGGCCGGTCAGTGGCGAAGAGGATAAACAAAAATAATTCCTTCTATATAACAATAATAATAAAAAGTAAAAACGTTACCCCTATACATTTCAGGTTTTCTCTTATTGTAACATCATAGAAAACGAATGTAAATAAACAGTTAAGAGAATGATATTAAATGCCAGACTTAATAAAATTACTTTTTGAATGGGATTAAAAGCGGGAATTAAATTACTATGAACGGGATTAAAAGCGGGAATTAAATGACTATGAATGAGATTAAAGGAGGGAATTAAATGACTATGAATGAGATTAAAGGCGTTATCGTAGTAACAATGAGATGAGTAATAATAACATAAACAATAACAATAATAATATAATTCATTTCCGCGGGAAACGACATAGAAGAAAAGTGACTGAGAATTGTTAATAACGATAATAATAATAATAATAATAATAATAATAATAATAATAATAATGTTGGATAAAATTAAAGAAATTAGATTAGCATTTTGGCCATATAGTTCCAGGGAGTGCCAGAGTTTCCTACGGAATGCCAGAGTGTCCCAAGGAGTGCCAGAGTGTACCAAGGAGTGCCAGAGTGTACTAAGGAGTGCCAGAGTGTTCCAAGGAGTGCCAGTGTGCCAGGCAGTGCCAGTGTCTCCCAGGGAGTGCCAGAGTGTTCCAAGGAGTGCCAGAGTGTTCCAGGGAGTGCCAGTGTCTCCCAAGGAGTGCCAGAGTGTACTAAGGAGTGCCAGAGTGTTCCAGGGAGTGCCAGTGTGCCAGGCAGTGCCAGTGTACCAAGGAGTGCCAGAAGGAGTGCCAGAGTGTTCCAAGGAGTGCCAGTGTGCCAGGCAGTGCCAGTGTCTCCCAGGGAGTGCCAGAGTGTTCCAAGGAGTGCCAGAGTGTTCCAGGGAGTGCCAGTGTCTCCCAAGGAGTGCCAGAGTGTACTAAGGAGTGCCAGAGTGTTCCAAGGAGTGCCAGAGTGTCCCAGGGAGTGCCAGAGTGTACTAAGGAGTGCCAGAGTGTACTAGGGTGTGCCAGTGTCCAAAGGAGTGCCAGAGTGCACCTGGGCGTGCCAGAATATACGAGAGTGCCGGAGTACACCTGGGAGTGCCAGAGTATACAAGGGAGTGCCACTGTACACCTGGGAGTGCCAGAGTGTACAAGGAATGCCAGTGTACACCTGGGGTGCCAGAGTGTGAGGCCAGAGTATTCAAGAGAGTACCAGGAGTGCCAGAATATTCAGGAGAGTGCCAGTGTACCAGGGAGTGCCAGTGTACACCAGGGAGTGCCAGACCTGGGGACCAAAGACCTGGAAGTGCCAGAGTGTACCAGGGAGTGTCAGAGTGTACAGAGTGCCAGGTGTGGGAGTGCCAGTGTACACCTGGGAGTGCCAAAGTATACCTGGAAGTGCCAGAGTGTACCAGGGAGTGCCAGTGTACACCCGGGAGTGCCAGAGTGTACCCGGGAGTGCCAGAGTGTATAACCAGGCTGATATAACCTGCCAGAGACTTCCCCAGGCTGATATAACCTGCTAGAGCAGGGGTGGGCAATTATTTTTGATGGTGGGTCACTTCATGAATGGTGGCACACTTCGAGACCCTTGCAGTGCACCCCCACCTGCCAGAGACTGCCCCAGGCTGATATAACCTGCCAGAGACTGCCCCAGGCTGATATAACCTGCCAGAGACTGCCCCAGGTTGATATAACCTGCTAGAGACTACCCCAGGCTGATATAACCTTTCAGAGATTGCCCCAAGCTGGTATAACCTGCAGTTTCGGCCAATATGCCCTAGTAGTTTAGAAATTAGTTTATCCTGTGTATATTTTTGGGGGGGATTTAATCGAATTTGACCTTTATTTTCAGGAGAAAGTACCCACTTTAAGTTATCCCCCCCCCCCCAAAAGCACGGAGAACTTTTAAAATTCATTTCTGACGTTATTCACTGGCCCCTGGTTGAAATGGGGTTAGAAATACTCCAAATGAGAAAATTTAAAGGTTGGGGATGGTTAAAACAGTTGACCGTGTATTGGTCAGAGCACCAACTCCCCTGCCAGATCCTCTACGGGAAGCTGCCCGAGTCAAGCAGCAACCCTGAGGATAATGCAAAAGGTACAAAGACCAGCTCAGAATGACGCTCAAAAAATGTAACATTCCTTCAAAGGATCTTGAAACCATTGCATCCGACCATAGTCTATGGCGCTCCACCTGTACCCAAGGTGTCAAACATCTCGAGAATGAGCGTAATAGGGCCAGACGTGCACTTAGGGGAAGGAGACACAATCGCCCTCCCACCCAACACGTAGTGCGACAGTCTGTAATTCAAGTATCGGACTCCACAGCCACATCCAGTGGCACCAACGACAACATCCCTAGTTCACCACTCATCATCATCGATTTCATAATGAAGCAGAGTCATCGTCGGCTACAATGGACGGCCTTAAGCAAAGAGGCAAAACAGTGTGTGTGCGACATATTTTTGAATAATAAATGTCAGTCTCTACATATAAACCAATCTAAAAATTACCTTGTTAATATTTACAACAGACACTTTAATTATATAAACATTCTACTGAAAGTTAAATCATAGGCATTATACTCATCAGTGATATCTGAAGACACCAATTTAATATAAGTAATTTTTCATGTCAATTGACTACTGTTAGTTATAATTAAGGGACATTTGAGAAATCCTGCATTTTTTGTAATATTCTAAATCAATTCTGGAAAAAAAATGTCAACTGCCTGAGGTAAAATCATTCCACGTCATTAATTTATATGTAACTATTTTTCTGCACGACAGTACCTTATGATAACCTTTTATGTGGTAGGAAGAATAATTTGTAATTCAAGCTACTACAGTATTACAGTATAAATTTTGAGCAGAAAGTGTATCCAAATACAGTACAGGTAGTATGAATCTCCACAAGAAGTTTCTTCTCTTTTAACTACTAATATTGATGACACTTTACATTAAGACACCTTATGGTAGCTTCTGCAAATTGTTGCAGAAAGACTTTAAGTGACTTTTACCAAAAAATGCAAGAAGGTTGAGGAAAATATCTAAATTTACTAAATCGAGTACCGGTACTACCTGTATACAGTTTTAACAACATTTTCATTTTCTTTCAGTAATCTGCTTGTACAGTAATACAATTACATATATTTTTCTCTACAAATATGAATAGGAATTTAATTAAAAAGAATCCACAAAACAACGAGAAAGGAGTCGATATTTTATTATGCAAATTTAAAACTGGAAGAGTACATACACACCCATGTTAATGTTGCTGGGATCTATCCGAGCTGCTCTCAGGCAAGTCCACCGCACTCCTCGTTGACTAACACTCGTGGGCAGGGGAGGACAAATTTTTATTCTATTATTCTAAAAGTTGCTATTGCAGCTTGTCTGAGTGGCAGGTCAAGGCGACCATGCGCCAACTTGAGAACACATGATAATTTTGTCTCCTGTTAAGGCTGCATCAATATCCCAGACACTTCAGGTGTTTGGGGCTGGTTGTGTCATGCACATCAGTCAAAAACATATAAATTTTTTTCAAACCTGTTACTGTTGTGATGAAAATGGATGACATTAAAGAAGGTATTATGATATTCTTCTACAAGTCTTCTTTGTGACAAGTAGTAATAAACTGATGAAATTTTTGATTGAAAAAATAACTTGGTTATGATTAACTTCATTAATTAAATTAAAGTGAAGTGTATTAGAGTACAGTACTACATATCTACAAACTAAATAACAAGTAATGCTCTTATTTGAAGAACCGAGTGTACATACATTACTTGTGGTCTATTGGACTATTTCAGATATACAGTATACCGGGTACAAAAAAAAAATATGATGAAAAGATTTAAAAGTACTAAATAAATATATTCAATCTAAGGTTAATACTGAAATTATATAATTTATTCATAAAAAAACAATATAAAGATTTATACCATAGCTGAGAAATTGTTAATAATTTTTAGAAAACTCTTAAATAAAGAATAAAAACATAGTAATCTAAGAAAGATAACATTCATCATGCCTAGGCATATGTAACGAGTGCATTAACATATGCATCAACTTTAACATACAACTATTTACCGGTCATAGGTTCCTGCTTCACCTTCTGTAACAACACACCAAGGGAAGGAATAAAACTACAGTAGTAGCTGGTACAACAGCCTCACAGGACGCCCTAGAGAAGCTGCTGGGTTGTGGCCAAATTAGTGAATATTTCTTTCTCCTCTCACATCAGCACCTCGCCACCTACACAGGCTTGGTGACTACTCAAGCAGTTCATACACTAGGGGAAAATTGTGTTAGTGGCCAATGCAGTGGTTGTCAAGTTACGTGATATAATTCTCGTGAGCTGCTCTAGTGGTTCTAGAGTTAGGGACATAATCTTAAGGCTACAGTACTTAAAGTAATCTTGGTGGCCACTGCTGTAGTCCTTTATGGTACAGGTATAATCACAGTGGCCACTCTGATGGTTAGAGAGATCTACTTTACAATGGGTCTAGGATGGCATGTGAGTGTTGCTTACTGCCCAGACAATAGCAGGCAGCATACACCAGGTGGGCACATACAGCAGCTTGTCTCCTCCTACATTACGTGACACAAATACAAACAGCACAGCCAACAAGGGAGCAGCAGACGCAATAATGATATGACTTAGTGGGGCGCTGTGGCCCCAGCCCGAACCACAGTAGAAGCTCCATAATATGGTGATTTTTAGAAATCCTGAATGTTTAATTTTGCATAAGACAAAATCCCATAAAAGAAAAACTTATTGAAATTTAAAAAATACCTATACTGAACTGCCCCAGACACAGTTTTACCTCTATATTATGACACTCAAACAATAATCACATAATAAAACAAAACAATAATCATAAATTAATACAGTAAAAGACTCAAGTTCATTGACGAACAATACATCTGATCCTACACTATAAAAAAAAATATGTTATGTCTACTCATATCTACAAACTAAAGGTATGGGACCAAATATCTGACATGCTTGGAACATGGGGCTATTGGATAAGCATTTTTCTGGAATTAGGAGAGCCAGGCCTAAAATGTATTACAGACAGTATACTGTACAGTAAACTTTCTGTAAATATTGTTTGATGATACTATGTACCATGCTCCTTCTCTTATGATGTAGCTTCAACTGTATATTGTAACATTAAAACATAAGATTGTAGGCATATAGTATACTATACTGGTAAACAGCAATAACTGAAGCATATTAATGTCAGTACAGTTATAAAAAGAGCAAAGAAGATACATGTTAGTGGACCAGTACACACTGTCACAGTCTCAGGAACGCTGGCTGCTTCAACACTTGCCTTAGCAACACAGCCCAGCTGGGGCGATGCCTATCTCTAGCATTGCTGCTTCGTGCTGTGTACCCTCTGACCTGGTGTGATTAAAGTGGCGTTAGATGAAACAAAAACAGTCAAAATTAAACTTTAGGGAGCTGATGGCAATATTGTACATCTTTACTTGCCAGGCAGATTTTGAAGACTTATTTTTGGTTCATTTTGAAAAGCAGAATCAAAGAACCAAAAAATATAATTTATTTTGTATAACATCACCAGCCTCAATCGCATTGGCTTGTCATCAGTGTCATATAATTCATAATCCACAGAACTACTGTGGGCTTAGACATGCCTATCTGCTTAACAATTTCATACTTTTTACTCTCCAAAATTCTGACTGACTTCCGAAATCATGTAAGACAGTCTGGATCCGCCACTGCTTTACACTGCGAGCAGAAACAGTTGACTGACTCCTAGCCCGCTAGCAGATGTTTATAAACGTCTCGTCAGATGATCCTAGAACAACTCGGACAGGTCTGGGAAGTTCTAGGCCATTCTACTCTGATCGAGGCTTACAATAGGAAGTAAATCATGAAAAAAAAAAATGACGGAATACACATAAATCTCCCTAAACTTGCCAAAACAACCGCTGCTTGGGACAGAAAACAATCAAAACACCTAGTTTATAAACATTATAATACCAAATTATGCCTCGGCATAACAATATTGTTAGAAGACTTACAAGATGTACAGCAACACTTTCCTACTTGTGCCTCAGCAAGACCAATGGAGCTAAAGTCTTCAACATGTTATAAAAACTTACAGATGTACAACAGAACCCTTCTACCATAATTTAACATTGTATGTGTTTGATAATGCTGTACTGTATAGTTATTTAATTGGAATACAAGAAACATTTTGGAAAGAGGAAGAAAGATATACAGAGAAACAATGCCTTACAAAGAAAATGGAATTATATTGTGCTCTAGCAAATTACATGGTATTGAATGTCTTTAAAAATGCTGTACATAGTTATTTGATTTGAATACTACAGGAAACAATTTGGAATGAGGAAGAAAAATGTACAGTTGTTACTCAAGAGAAACAATGTCTTACAAAGAAGATGGAATTACACATGCTCTACTAAATTACAGTGGAGCTTATCGAGCACTTTGTATTTAGTAAACAATGTCATCAAATTAAAAGAACATGTCCTCCTCAAACTTTCTTTATTATTTCCTAAGACAAAATACAGAAATTTTTGGACTTAAAACTTTTTTACCAATTTTTCCAGATTTTTGAGGTGTCCTCTCTGGAGATGAGCTCCAGCCTACCCACCAGGTTTGGACCTTGGAAGCTGGCAGCAACTTTGAGCATTGCAGAATTAGCTACACACTGAACATTGCTCATTTGTCCTTGTTAGCAAGTTGCTTTTTGAATGTGTCTGGAAATGTAAGATAATGATGGAGTTTTGAAGATGGGTGAAATTGACTTGCTAAGATACTCTTGGTAGTTGATATTGCTGTTTAGCAATGTTGTTATGCTAAGTGATTTGAATGCTTGGCATTTCATCTGAATATGTAATGTCTAAGTATTCAAATCACTTAGCATAACAACATTGCTAAACAGCAATATCAACTACCAAGGGTATCTTAGCAAGTCAATTTCACCCATCTTCAAAACACCATCATTATCTTACATTTCCAGACAGACATTCAAAAAGCAACTTGCTAACAAGGACAAATGAGCAATGTTCAGTGTGTAGCTAATTCTGCAGTGCTCAAGTTGCTGCTATAACCTGAAATAGAAAAGACAAAGATTTCTATACAGTACACAAATATTTATACCTGTCAAATTGTTTGAGACCAATGATTTTACTTAGATCAAGGATTCTACATTATGGATTTGATGGGTGGGAGGAAAACACACGGTTGAGCTGACTTCCTTTATTTCTCTAACCCTGGTCCGGGTGCACCTCACCTTTCTCATGTCGGTGCCTGATTGGCTGTCATTTACCGAACCTGACTACCTTACTGCGTGATGTCAATGCTAGGTCCGCAGCACGCTTCGACCAGCACATGCAACGGACCTAGCATTGACGTCATGCAGTAAGATATACAGTAGTCAGGTAAGGTAAATGACAGCCAGTCAAGCTCCAACACGAGTAAGAGGTGAGGTGCACCCAGGGTACATAAGTCCCGAACTTCCTCCACTTGCTGAAGATGGGTTCTGTGTAACCCAAAACATTAGAAAAATAAAGGGAGCAGCTCAACCCTGCATTTCTCTCCCACCCATCAAATCCACTTGGCATCATGGATCAATCACATTCTACATTATAATTAACCCCCCTTCTGTAGTTACTAAAGTTCCAAATCATCTGCCACATTAAGATGCCTCCCCATAGTGAAGCAATTAAAATCCTTATACAGTACATGTATTTACTTATTAATTGGCGACAAGGATACACTTTAATATTACTACTGGCCATTTCTTGGACAACTCCATTATTGATGGTTTATTCTAAGAAAAACCAACATATATATAATCTTGAATCTTTAACTTTCAAATAAGGTAACCTTTAAATTCATTCATCACAAACAAACCACCCCCTCAATTTCTGCTTCAAAACTAATATTTAACTCCCATTTTACTCTAAATAAATATCTAACCTTCAAGATTTTTACTTCATATTACTGTAAACAGCCAAGGGCCATAAACTTTGTAGATTGTACTTTGATATTTAAGGAAAAAAATGGTAACTTACCCAAGACTGCTGCCATTCTGGTAACTGTCACCTCTGAAGAGACCTGCCAAATATATATTTATATATACTGTATGTGTGGTGGTGTTGGCGAGTGCTGGTGGTGAAAAGTAACCCAAATGGTCACTTCAGATTATGTTAGAATATAATGAACCGAGTCCATTATTATTCTGGATCAGGATATAACGGACCTTTGGCTTTATGGACCAGTCTTCCCTCCAATTAGTCCCATATTACTGAGGTATATTGTGAGATTCAAGTATAATAATTTACAGCAGTACACCAAAGCTACTGAGAATGATCCCTCCACCTATTACCCCAAGCTATTCAGACATCTTATTCCCCATACCTGCATTCATGTGTTTAGTTTTGTTAAGATAAACCTACTCAACATAACTTTTGTAGCTCTTTTTGTTGTAAAAGCCAAGTCAACTGTGCCTGATACTGGTGATTCTGATACTGACACCAACACTGCCTGATACTGGTGATTCGGATAAAGTTCAGTCATATTATGCGTCATACTGGTGGTTCTGACACTATTGCCAACACTAGTGTATGAACCTCCTAATGGTAGGTCTGATAACGATGACTAATATACTAAGAGTATTCTTTGGTATAAGAGAAAAGAGATGCCAAAGATTTAAGGATGCCAGTATTTGTCCTTTTCACCAAAGTTTGCTGCTTTTAAATTTATTTGTCTATATTACTGAACTATTATTCAAGAGAAAAGCTAACATTCTAATGAATCACTAATGGCATCATCAAAATGTTCAAGAGTGTTAATAAGAATGACAATAATCTTCAAGTTCTTAACTAATAATTTTAAACTGAGAAAATGACTTCACTTTAAATAATGTGTAAGGTACAATAATTATTTCAACATGTACAACAAACTTATTAACAACTTTAGTTTTTTCTTAACATAGCAGTTGTGTTTCAAAAGATCAGACTACCGGTACCTAAAGGGGATTTGAAGAGACTAGGGATTAAGGGTCTGAATTACCAATAAATCATAAAAGAAACATGAATATGATCATTTGCCTAACTGGTAATTTGTCACTAATTAAACAAATAACAACTTTACTCCAACAGCAATTTCAATTAGCACTAGCACTAAATTAGTCAATTTAGCCAGGATCAAAATGAAACCCAACCCATGTGCATAAAGCACAACATTATGTCCATAATTCCAACATCTCAGCCATTCCACAGAACCAATAAGTAAAATACACTTAATGCCAAATGTAGTATACATGAGCTGCTCTGCACAAAATAGGACCACAGAATCAGATGACCCTATTTGCTCTTGTCATGAAGAAAATTGAGAGAAAGAAGGAAAATATAAGTCCAAGTTTAAACTGTTTAAAGCAGTCTGATTTAAAATACTGCATGACTGGGCAAATACTGTACAGGTATCCCCTTATGTACGATGGGGTTATTTTTCCCCAAAACCCATTGCAGGTCGAAATATCGTAAATCAGTATCATTATAACATGGGAGTTCAATGGGAAAGATTCTTGACCAGACGGACAGACACACTTGTATCACCAAAAATAATAAATGTACAGCAGTATGTACTACTATCAGCAGAAAAAATTAAACAACACTCATCACATCATTAAGAACACGTCTGGTCATCACCACATGTCGCCTCCGAGGCTAAAACTCTTTTAAGACGGAGTGAAAACCATCGTTAAGGTGAAATATCATAGATAGGGACATTACAGATCGGGGGATACCTGTATACAGTATGATTGTGGCAATTACTTTTAAGTTTTGGATGACTGTTTAAATAAAAGATTATTGGAGATTGTCAAAAAATCTATGAGAATATTTGATGGTTCTAACTCTCTTCTAGCTATGCCAAAATGCATGTTCTGTAGAAAACTATCCCTATACTCAATGTTATGAGGTTATCTTGGGATATATATCAGCACCTTTTATTCTCCATTCTATTGGCCTACTTAAACTTTAATCTTATGTCTGAATATTTTGGGTTTAATATTGTTCTTACTAATAGCTGCCCATCTAATTGAGCATGATTTTTTAGCAGTTATTAATTAATTGTACAAAGTATTTTTTATGTGAGAGAACACAACTACGTTAGAGGTTAACTAAATTAATCTTCAGCATTATTCTATTGATTGATCAATAAATTAATTACTCGTTACAATAATGTAATGTATTTGTTTAATATTCCAAAATGTGCACCCACTCTTACCTCAAGAGTTACCAGGCTGGCTACTGACCTGCACAGTCATGCCTAACTGTTCAAAAAATGGGCAAAAAATTCAAAGCACAACAATTAGAAGAACCTTTCTGATGAGCATAATGCTACACCTGCAGTAATTATACTGTACTTTAAGGGTTAAAATTAATAAAATAAATCATTTTATACAGAATAATACAATACTGTATAATAAAATTTAATCTAAACTAATTTAAACTGATCAAACGAGGATATACTCAAGTATGGGTGATAACTAATCTTTAGGCTTGAGGAGGTTCAGGACAAATGTTGGAGTCCTTATCATTAGATCCTGGAGGATATTGAGCTTTTTTGATAAGCAATGTCTTATAACTTCCATGTTTGGCCAGGTGTCCCTCGGGTCCATGGAGTGCTCGCTTCTTGATGAATTCCTTCACTTCTTCGTCATTTACAGTGGCCATCTCTAAAGTATGACCCCAGGCTAACAAGGCTAATGGCTGATAACAAAAATAAACATAACATTAAAACAGTTAAACAGACATATGTGACCACAAAAATACAAAAAATTTTCTGCATGTGTGGGTGTGTATTTACCAAGGAAAAGGTTATGCCATCCAGTTAATCTACCGCTAGTTACAATGAAATGACATGATTTTTGTACAAATTCCTTTCATGGCATCCTTTAAACAAGCAATGTATCAGATTTCAGTGAAATCCTTGTACCCCTTCCTCATGATTTGAATTTGAAATAAAAAGAAAACAAAAATCTGCAATGATGACATATAAGACCCACTTAATCTTTGAGACTGTATTGTAAATTAATTGTGCCTGTAGTGAATATGGAGTTCCATTCCCAGTCTTAACATATCTCAGCTTTTCAATATACAGTATACACCTTACATCAAATGTGAAATTCTTAAGGAGAGAGGCATGTCTAAGCCCACAGTAGTTCTGTGGATTATGAATTATAAAGACACTGATGATAAGCCAATGTGATTGAGGCTGGTGATGTTATACAAAATATTATTTAAATGTAATTTATGTTTAAATCTTGTCTACCTATCCAAGAAATGATTGATGGTCTATCAAAAAAATATATAAATTATAATTTTTGTTTCTTTGATTCTGCTTTTCAAAATGAACCAAAAATAAATCTTCAAAATCTGCCTGGCAAGTAAAGATGTACAATATTGCCATCAGCTCCCTAAAATTTAATTTTGACTGTTTTTGTTTTATCTAATGCCACTTTAATCACACCAGGTCAGAGTGTACACAGCACGAAGCAACAATGCTAGAGATAGGCATCGCCCCAGCTGGGCTGTGTTGCTAAGGCAAGTGTTGAAGCAGCCAGCGTTCCTGAGACTGTGACAGTGTGTACTGGTCCACTAACATGTATCTTCTTTGCTCTTTTTATAACTGTACTGACATTAATATGCTTCAGTTATTGCTGTTTACCAGTATAGTATACTGTACTGTATGCCTACAATCTTATGTTTTAATGCTACAATATACAGTTGAAGCTACATCATAAGAGAAGGAGCATGGTACATAGTATCATCAAACAATATTTACAGATAAGTTTACTGTACAATATACTGTCTGTAATACATTTTAGGCCTGGCTCTCCTAATTCCAGAAAACACTTATCCAATAGCCCCATGTTCCAAGCATGTCAGACATTTGGTCCCATACCTTTAGTTTGTAGATATGAGTTGACATAACTTATATTTTTTTTTTAGCGAAGGATCAGATGTATTGTTCGTCAATGAACTGGAGTCTTTTACTGTATTAATTTAAGATTATTATTTTGTTTTATTATGTGATTATCGTTTGAGTGTCATAATTTAGAGGTAAAACTGTGTCTGGGACAGTTTAGTATAGGTAATGGAATGCCTCCTTATTTTTTACATTTAAAAAAGGGTTTCTTTTATGGGATTTTGGCTTATATAAAATTAAAAGTTCAGAATTTCTAAAAATCACCAAATTATAGAGCTTCTCCTGTATCTTAATATGTCTTTACTACTGTTTCTATACAAGATATACTGTACTTACCCGTTCTCGTGTTAAAAGAGTGTAAGGAGTGATGATGTGCTTGCGAAAGCATCCAGTCAGCAATTTGCGAAGTCGATCAACCAGCAAAGGTTCAGTACATGGATCATACAGCATGACTACTCCTCCATGCTGCAAGAAACACACCACCTTTCTCATCTAGAATTTAGTGATACAGTATACCTATACAGTAATATCTCCGTTAGCCGGAATCCCTCAAACCCGGAACTCTCCGATAACCGGAATTGAAATTTTTCGTAAAATTGTTCCCAAAGCCTGAATTTTCCAGAAAATTCAGGCTTTGGGAACAATTTTCCAGAAAAATCTGAGAAAATTTTCCCGATACCTGGAAAATTCCGGGGATGGGGGAGTTTTTCCGAGTTTGAGAGATGAAAATCAGGTTCATTTTCTGAAACTTTCGAGAACATTTTTCCGTTACCCGGAAAATTCCGGGAATGGGTTTTTTTCCGGTTTTGAGAGTGGTCTCGTTACCCGGAAATCTCATTCCCGGAAGTGCTCAGCACCAATTGTTCCGGCTAGCGAGGATATCACTGTATATTTTTTATAATAATTCCCCTCTACATTAATAAAAAGTATAAGTTAAGAGTGTTAGTGCTTCTAATTAAATTCAATTTCTAGAAAGTTGATCCTGATAAATAATACTTCACCTCAGTACCTAGGACATGAACCCAACATGTCTTTGTAATTGATAAACTTAAAAACCTTTATCCTTTTAACCCATAACTGACCCTTTTGTAGAATTTATGAAGAATTTTCCTTACAATAAGTTTGAATTGATGTCTCATTGTGAAATTTTATCCTTTTTATATCAGATCCAGTTAAACATCCAAATCACATCCTAATTTATCAGTGAGTAAATAATGAAAGGTTAATACTAATAACAAATGGCACTTGCTCATCCATCATCAAATTCTCAAGCTGCTGTTGTTATAATGGTATTACTGTGCTTCAACAATGAAGGTCTTTAAGCACATAGCGAGGTTAGTAATACACTAGTCCAACAACGGTATGAATCATGAGAGACGGAACTCTGTGTATTTCAATCTAACAAAGACTGTGAACTTAGGTGGGGAATGTGATAACATTGGCTGCTTATTTGCATATTAATTGTGTATATTTCTGTGATTTCAGAGTTATTAGAGCTGTATTCATCTGAAGGACTGGTTGAGCCTCAAGAGCAAGTGTTACCAAGTTCCAAAAAGTTTCCCTGGTGAAAATTTAAAAAAAATGCCCTGTATTAAACCCCTTCCTAAATACTTTACTGACTTCAGATTTCTATAAAACTTTTGTAAAAATAAGTCTTGTGGCAATTCAGTTTTTCTTGTCTACATATTTCCTTGCCAAGCTCCTACATTTCAAATTATTCAACAAACTTTATTTCAGTTATAATTCCCTTTAAAAATACTTCTTTTGCAGAGTATTTAATATATTTACAACTCCGACTCTTTCCCTACTCTATCTCTTACCTTCCTCAGTACTTGCATCGGTTCATGGGTTATGAAATACTGCCGTTGCTTTTTACCCACTTCGTATTTTATTCCTCCTAAATTAAATCATAATAATTACTTATCTTCACAGACTAACATTATGTTATATCATCACACCTCCATTTACTGTACTCTTAATGAAAAACTCCATACATACCTCAATACTGTGAAGCCATCTCTGGATTGGTACAAATTTATATTCTCCAAAAACAGGCCAAATGGGGCGATGTGGTCCAAATGTTGGCAGTGTTCTGTTGTATTTGATTACATTATTCATACACACATGTTTAGATATGTAATTCCAGGGCACTTGTTCCTTTCTCTCCACTGATGGCAGATCTTCAACTCTTATGTGATGTTTCTTGTGATCAAAGCAGGTGTAGTTGACGGGAGAGGAATCCCAGTCCACTTCCAAATGCAGCTGTGAAAAAAATTATTACTGCACAAGTATTCAAATTAAATTTTGATTTTGTATATTTGACTGAATAAATCCCAGTCCACTTTCAAATGAGTCTGGAAAGAACAGATTAAGTATAGTAGCTAACAAAAATTAAACACTGAATAGTATTGTGAAAATCAACTAATTTTGTAAGTCTGTAATTTGTATATTTTTGGGGGTAAATACAGTATGTATCTCCTTGTCCCTCACCAACAGAATTGAGACAAGATAATAATAATTTCCTTATGCCAGATCTGTCATGCATGAGCACTTGGGTAGTGTACAGTAGTGTATATTGTAGCTACTTCATACAAGATATTTATCTTTTCAAAAACATATATTTCGTCACTACAATATCCCGTCTGTGAGCAGCAGACCCAGACACATGATGTATGTGTTGCAAAATTTGATCATTTTGGAAAATGGCGACAACTGAATTAAAGCCCCGGAAATGAAACCTAGTTTTACTAGCTACTAAAAGGATTGGAGAATGAAAACTAACGGGTTTGACTAAAATTCCAGTGACCTGATAGACATTTTAACTTGTAAAGCACACAGAAGAAGAATTAAAAACATAAATCATAACTTTCACACATTTGTTAGTATTTATTTATGGCTGCAACCTGCTCAATAAACTTTAATATCCCAATAAATAAAAAATAAAAATTTTATAACAAATTATCACTGATGATAATTTACTGAATTTTCTTAATAGGCTGATTAGGTACAATCAATGTCTCCACTGCCTCTCTTAAATAGTCCTGCTCTTTGGTTGGCAAGTACAAACTATACAATTACAGTATTGTACAGTACTGTATACTGTACTATGTTTTAGTTTAATACAACATATGCCTGCTGTGGACTCGTAGGGTCACTGGTATGTTGCTTGTAGTAAAGTGTTTTAGGAAAGTAATAATTTACATCATGGTCAGTTTGGGTCCATACATAAGTGTTGTAATCACCTGATATTCTGAGTTCATGTTTCCAAGGTCCATTGTACCCACATTTATTATATAAATCATAAAACTGTTTAGTTCACCACACTGTTAGTCTCAAGGGTATACGAACTTGAGAGGTTATACTATACATGGAAACACCCTGTCTAATGAAACAGTTATCATGACAAAGTCCACCAACTTTTTCAGTCAGAGATAATTACAGGTACTCAATTTTTTTTTTTCAAAACCCTTGAAATAAGCATCAAATCTGCATTTATTTTAAATTGTTAGCACAGGAAAGGGTAATGACATACCCTGCCATTATCACAACTCGTGTGTGGGGCTCCCATTTTAATTCCATGTTTATCATCCTTCAAGCTGTCTGGAACATCAGCTGGAATAACCATTTCTTCTGAGAGCCCTTTAGGAGCACGGGGGAACCATTTACCATGCCAGTCACCAATGGGTTCCACCTGGAAAATATAAAATTATGACAACTTGTATATACAAAACGGTTAATTTAGAAACGTGTAAAGCAAAATGTGTACAGTACTTCCCCATGAATTGGTGAGCTGATGGCTGTTCACATTGAATCTTACCTCAAGGCACCCATGGATGTACTAAAATTGATGACAATTCTATAATTGGCCACATCAAAACTATAATCTGTTCATTATGGAAATGACAAATCGCCACGCCCCCTTTCTTTCGTATTTGATCATAACTGGCTAGACTATCATCCTGGCTGGGTCTGATGTAAGAAGTCACAATGGTTACGGACTTGCCAAGTAGGCGCAATCGAGACTGGTGGGATGCGTGAGCCATGGAATGCATTACTTCCACTATCAGTGTAAAATATTTTCTATGGGTTTTTGATGTGTTACTGTACATTCATCTGTAAAGCTTAATAATTGCAAAAATAGGTAACTTTGTTTTCTGATTATAATAGCCAACAATAACAATGTTTCTTCATGATGAATTAGGTTATGCTAGGTGAACAAATTACTTTCATGCTAAGTGGGGCTAAGTTAGATTATATTATGGGTAAGCCTAGTTTTCATTGTGTAATTATTTCTTATATCTATAACTTTGATTTAGCTTTTCCATAATAGTTTTAGATGCATATTTTAATCTAGATACTGTAGTATTTTATTAGTGTTTTTAATGTCTTAGGTAGTAAATTACAGTAGTTGTGGACTACCTTTCAATACTTAGGAAGGGTTTTTTCTTGTTTGTCAACTGATTTCATGTTTTTGAGGTATGATATTGGAATAGTTTTGTCATTGGGGAGCCGAACCCTATTATTCCTTATGTTTTTCGATTCAAGATACGAAAATTCACCTAATAACAAATTAATTTTTGGAATCTAACCCATTCATATCAAGAGGTATACCTGCACAGTATTATTTTTGCAAAAATTCATTTAGAAAACACATAGATAATGAAGTGATGTAGATTTACTCAAATTTGTTTCCCTCCCTCACTGTGCTATTCTTTTTTTTTCTCACTTGTGATTACTTGAGAAACATCTACCATTTCTTACGTTCTTGTTTCCTGTTTTGCAAAGATAACAGACAAACCAGCTGGAACAACTCTATTGTAAATCTTTCAAACCTGCAAGTGTCTTTAAAATTCTTCAAGAAAATGACACAAGACCAACCACTCAGTGCTGGCAAGTTTGGCAGTTGAGGGATAAAAGTACTGTGATAAAATTTTCTTACATTTCTTGTCTGTCAACATGAACCTTACTAACCTTTACTGTTTCCTCCTCATCATCAACACTCTCTCTCTCCTCCAGTCTCTCACGTTCTTCAACAGTTCTCAAAAGTGCAGATTCTACTTCATCAAATACCTCTCGTTCATGTCTCTGCAGTAAAGGCTGGTCGTATTCCTGAACAATGTCATTAAGCGAATTTGTGTCATCTTCAAACTTCTGTGGTCCTATATCATCTGAAAATATAACATTTCTATAAGAAAAGGCATGCAATGGAAAATAACAAGATAATGCATTATATAATTTACCAGTCACAACAGAGTTTGATACTGTACTATGAATGGCTTAATGTTGAACTGTTCAGGTAAACAACTTAACTATTGTGCATTTTAGATTCTACACAGTAGAGTATATGTTCACCAAGGAAAATGATTGCTGAAAGACTGTTCATTATTAGTACTGTATGTCTTATTTATGAGAATATACATCATCATCATCATCATCTAATGTTTCTTGAAAATCTACTAAAATCTTATTATGAAAACTTTTCATGACCCGTAAGACATTAAATAGCCTAACAATGACTAACAGGACAAAATAAATTTGTGGACAATTTTTATGTTCTTTACACTCTCATACACACAGGAAGCAAGATAACTACTGTATGTTAAAATTATAACTATGGTCCAAACACCAATTTTTGTTTATTATATACTTGTAAAGTATTATGAACTGTTTAATGGTAACCTTTTATTGTTAAGAAGTTTATTTTTAATTTTTGGGGGGTAAATGGCTTTCAAAAGACTTGTTTGTAAAGAAAGTTAAACAATGTAATACTGTATTTTCATCAGTGTTTATGTTAGTAAGTACTGTACAGTACTGTATAACATGAAGCAGCTCACACCTGATCTCTCTGTTTTGGACCAAAGGTGTGATGGGGTCGACTGGTTTACATACTGTATTTGGGTTAAATCATCACCCTAAGCGGAATAAATGAGAGATATCTGAGGACTCTGAATGCCCCCATATGGCAGCCTTTATATGATATTTAATTTTTCCCAGACTTTTGGAAGAATTAGCTCTTTACGGCATATAAAATAAGAAACAATTTGACGCCTAATTTATCTGTTTAAGTCTCGAGAGTCAATATCGTGTCACATCAAGAGCTTCCGAGCATTTCAATTCACAAATTCTATATGAGACTGGAACACATTACAATTTTTTTTAACTAACCTGGAACAATATAGCCCATGTCAGACCCTGGAGGAAACACAAGCCGTGCATCACCCATGCTAGTGAGTAGCACAGCCACGGTGACCCAGGATACCATCAACATCTGCAATTTGACGTGCAACATTACATTATACTGTACTGTACATACACAAATGATGATGACAATACAGTATACTGTATTGTATATTCATAAGATACAAAAAAAAACTCCAGAAGAAAATTACCTCTCTAGACTACACCTACAATTCACAAGACTACTTTCACACAAGAAGACTATTACATTATAGAACCAACTTTTCAGAATTTTATTGTAAACATATAATATTGTAGCACCATGTCTTAAACTGCAAGGATGGATGTGACAGCACTGCCATAAGAAAGGAACAACTGTTATAAGAATGAAAGAATAACCAATAACAGTGTTACTAAAGTATATTATCTAACTCCTTACCTTTTTATAAAAAGCAAAAAGTCTGCATAATCAAGCATTTAGTAACACTTAACAGGAGTGTTGTTACTATACAAAGGTGATTGTAGCTATGAGCATCACAAAACATATTTTCAACAACAGTTTTGGTGTACAAAATGATTATAAGGCAGTAATAAACATAGTGAAATACAGTATTGGTATGTGCAGTACAGTGCAGTAATAATTTTATACCTGTACATAAGAGAAATCAGATGAAATGCTAAGCCGACATCTATAATAAATACGTATACAGTAATACTGTACATACAGTACATTGATTTCTTCATTTTTTTACTATGTTACATGCCCACTCAATCTGACATACAGATTGTGCAAAAAAAAATAAATAAAATAAATAAATAATAATAATCATAAGATCTAAAACATCAAGGGAATAAACTATCTTCATGTGTTAAGAGGAGGAGGGAGTGAGGGAGGGGTCTCAGCTGTTCTGAGCTGTCTCGCGTATGTAGTGAAACGATTGAAAAATTTTGTTGTCCAGCAGGTAAATGGCAATGCAGTACAGTATTATTTTTATTTATTCCTCACATTTACTGGTATATCTTATTTGAGGAAAGCTATGGCTACGGGAGGAAAATACACACAATTTTTTTTTCCTAAATATTCCTTGCTAAAATGGGGGGTGCATTTTTGATGCCATTAAAAAAATATTATACCATCCTAAATTCCCTCTGCTTTATTTACATGACATGAACACTGTCGTTGATTAATTGACACTACACTCGTACTCTCTCATGCAGTGTCAGCAATACCCACACCTTCAAACTTTTGTTCACTTCCAAATTAACATATGAAATTAATGAATACTATACTGAGTAATTTCCTTTTATTTCATGTCACATATTACATTAGAGTAAATGGGAAGAAATTTGACAATCAGGTACAGGTACGGAAACTGGCCGAGTGACTCCTGATAATGAGCCTATTTATCCCAAGTGTATTTGAGGAGTAAGTTATAAGATGAGAGAAGGAGAATGGTATGCTTCTTTGTACTCTAGACTTAATAACTTTGCAAGTTATTAAGTTTTAGTAAATTGGGAATTGCCTGTACCAGAACACGTGTCAGTGTTGGTCAAGTCTGGAATTATATATAAGTTCTCACTTGGTGCTGTCACAATATTCTGTAGCAGGTTGTTCCAATAGTTCACACCTTTTACTCCATTGAAGGTACTATAGCTCTAACAACTTTTCTGTACTGACAGCTTTTACCTAGATTATTCCCCCATACAGCACTGTTCCTAAACATTTTCCTTCTTTATTCTTAGGTTGTTCATTAACTTGCTCCCCTAGTGAGATTTGTACCCTTTTCTCTATAATTCCCCCTTTCATACTCAATTAGTGTATTACTGTTATTTCCCTTTTTTATCACTATAATCATACAAACATAATATCCTTTGCTTCCTCTTGTCGTCCTCCTCCTCAAGTCATTCATGCACTTTTCCAATGCTTTTCCCTCTCCTCCCTTTTATTCTGACACTATCTATCTGGCATCTAAACCCAACGTTTCCTTCAATCTAGATAAAGTAGATAAAAATTTAACCTTGTCCTAACACTTTTCAATCAAAATTCTATTTCTTTCACCATGTTCCCTCTTCTCCTTCTCTTATTTCCTTCCATCTTCTCCTACGGTCATCACCCCCCCCCCTTCAACTATTCCACACCTCCTCTCCTCTTTTCCCCCTCATTCCATCCTGCTGGGCAAGTCCCATTAATGGCTTGTATCAATATTGACCGGCCAAGTGTGAAAGCCACAGGTGGTGAGTGGGCTTTTCAGCTACCACAGCAGGACACCTGATAACGCACACGCACACATTAAATACACAGCTGCTAGCTTTCAACTTACCTTTTATGGAACAAAAAATCAACAAACCCTTTCATTTCCACTGCAGAATGTCAATTATACTGTACTTTCATCATTTTAATCTCACTGTACAGTGCAGTACAGGTATGAGAAATTTAACAAATTAAGGATGAAAATAGCTAGGGTAACAACACAATTTATCACCCCAAGTGAATGGTTTTAACCTTAATTACATAAACCATTAATTTATGATTACTTCAAGATAAGAATTCTTTTCCTATGCTTTGTTACAAGAATGAAAACCATGAAGTGTTTTTTTATTCATACCATCAAGAGGTGCTAACACAGCTACCCATAAGTGTCCCAATATTGGTACATGCCCTACTGCATTATATTGTTTGCAGTGACCGTGACTGTAAACTTTCTTAAATTCAGAAATTCTACTTTAACAATGGCTTCCAAGAAATAACCAAGTAATAATGTTTTTGGAAGTGTGTGAAGATGAACCACATTACTCTTGACATCACGGAAAAAGCTGAAGTACTAAACTAGAAAAGCATTTTTCCTCAAACCTGCTGAACAGTATGGTGTTGGAAACAACAATTTATGATATCAAGAGGCAGTATGATAAGACATAATTCACTGCCTGGATAATGAACAGCAGAAGTTGATACAATGAAGTGAAAGGGTGCCTATTTCTGAGCTAATTCTAATGACAGATAATTATATACTCACTTTAGCTATTGTACAATACTTGTTTATTATTTCATAATACTGTACAGAACCTGTATATGGCCACCTTTACCTCAAATATACCAAGCTGGCTAAGGATCCAATTATTCATACATAATCATTCAAAAACAGGCAGGAAAGGTCAAAATACAATGCCTGTGGGAATTGTCCTGCCGGATATAATGCAACAACCGGGGTCATCAACCTAAATGAGTCAATTACTGTACAGTACAGTACAGTATATGAATTTATTATTTTCACCACTTTTCAGCTTACTAGCCAATCAGTCTGTTCTCTGTTAGGACCTTCATTGTCTAGTATTAATACAATACCCAGAGAAATCCTGTAAAGTATGGATGTCACACTAAATAACATCCTTCTCACATCCAAACACGAGATCCATCCCAGGACAAGTGAGAGGAAACTATGCTACCACTGTACACTACCAAAATTTCATGATGGTTACCCTTTTAAACTCTGAGGCAGATCCAGGGGGGGGGGGGTTCCTGGGGGTCCAGGACACCCCTCCCCCTTTCATCAGATAATTCCAATACTTTTTCAGGCATTTTTGTAAAGTGAAAAGCAATTTCCATTGACCTCAATATCTCCTAATATCAAGTACACATGGCTTCAAAATGCCCATGATACTGACCACCCATTTTGATATTCCTGGATCCACCCCTGAAACTATGGTAATAATGTACAGTACATAAGCTTTCCATAGAAATAAAATGTTTTCTTGCTTGATGATATGAATTCAGTATACTGTACATACAAGTAGAGTACTCTGTACCCCAAAATTTAGTGTTCCGTTTTTCTCTAGTTTAACTATGATGTGAGTAGGTTATCAAAGTAACTCTACCATGTTGACAGCAGCTAGTGTATGTACAGTATATGTTGCATGAGCTACGGTAATCTGCTGCTCCTGGGAATGACAACAAATTATTCCTTAATTAGTATATCAGTAGGACCAAATTAATAAAGTCAGATTCATTCCTAGTAAACTAAGATAAGCTTTGCAGTGTTGTTTTTTATTTAATTTAAAGGAACGATGAAGTGCCCTACTCACAGCATTATATTAACACAACACTTTTCATACACCTACACCAAATTTATCTTATCATAAATGTACCAAAACTTGGACGCTACACAAAGTCATGTAACAAGAGAGATTAGACCATCTTCAGCTGCAAGGAGGAATTAAATAAATTCAATGTGTGTGTGTGTGTGTGTGACACATGGAACATATACATGTTATGTGTCCAAAGTGACACAATGAGGATACACTTTAAACTAAAACCAGCCATATTATATAGGTTAATATAAGTTCATAACCATCTCAAAGGACATTACTCCACCATATGTAGGGTCCAATTCAAAGGCTTACTGAAAATCCCCTGCCAGCATTGCAAGTCTGTTCATAACACAGACGGCACTCTTTCCAACAGTTAACCTGCAGTCTAGTCACAAAGAGACGACCACACCACACATTGGTGGAAAGAGCATCACCTATGTGTTATAAACAAACATATGCTGGATGGAGATTTTTATTTTGACTACCGGTATACATACCTGGAGCAAAGATATGGTTGCCCAACTAAGAGTCACAGCCTCGAGTTAATGAAGCCACAAGTAAAAAACTTAGAGCTAACTTCACTGGATTAACCTGCCAGACATATTCAGTTACATTCTAATATTCTTATTTTAAGTTTTTGGGGTATTTATTGTTACAAACAATAATATAAAAGTACAATAATGTCATTTCTGGTGCTTGATCTGTTGACTAACACTTCCTAGCAAGTACAGTACAGTACAGTACATGTACTACTGAAGAAATGGCTGCTAAATTCAATGTCACGAAGTGTACGAGGATGCACCTGGGATGCACCAATGGTAAGGAGGCATATCTTATGTCCCAATGGGACGAAGAAACTGCATCAATAGAGACTGAATGCGAAAAGGACCTAGGTGTGTATGTTGACAATGAACTGAAGTTCTCGGGTCATTGTGAGAAGAAGGTGAATCAAGCAACAAAATTATTAGGTCTTATAAGAAGGGCATTCAGATATCTAGACGGTCCAACCCTCCTAACGATCTTCAAAAGCGAGGTGCTTCCCCACCTGGTGTACTGTCACCCAGTCTGGTCCCAAAGATGTGCTAGGCCTGTCAGTTGATTGAAAATTTCCAAAGGAGGGCCAACAGACTGGTGCCTGCACTTCGACACCTCAGTTACCCAGAGAGATTAGAGTGCCTGTAACTGCCTAGCTTATACTGTACTACAGGTGGGCAAGGGGAGACCTAATTGAGTTGTATAAACATCTTAAAGGGCACTACTCAGTCGAGTGTCCATACCTGGAGCTGTCGTTACTTTTAATGTTTACAAAGACTGGAATCACAAATTTACGGTTTACGAGACATAAATATGTGACGCCACGGAATAAATACTGTCAATATTTACAGTAAAATCCTTATTTCTTGGTCTATACAGCACATAAACATGAAATTATTGCCATATAATCAGTTTTTTGCTATGCTTTACCCTGTAATTTCCCTCATCTTTCATGCCCTGCCCATTACAAGCAATTTATGATTGGGTAATTAGTGACAAATGACCTGCCGCCAATTTTTCAAAGAAAATTATTCAAAAAATGCTGTGATTTCACTGTGTTTTATAGTGGACATCATTATAGTTTTGGTAAATGTGTCAAAGTGATTATTTCTACATTAAACCTAACCTAACTTTAATTGATAAGAAAACAAGCGGCAGAAGCGTTGTTAAAAGACCTAACCAAAGAAACCTACGTAACCTAACTTTCTAGCCGTGAGGTTCCACCCTCAAGACTCCCCAGCATATTAAACAGAAAGAATTTGCTCTGATATGGTGTAATTTGACTTCTTTTTTTTGTGGATGACAGCAGCCACCTGGACCGAGTGGCTCATAAACGTACCGCGAGTCTCCTGAGCATAGCCGTAGGCATCGATCAGACCCAGCCTTACCTATTTATCACTGCACAAGATGAAGTAGTGTTGCTACTGAGAGCCTAGGCACCTATTTATCTACCAAATTAATCATTTTCCAAAGAATTTATTATTATATCAGAACTCACTGATGAAAATAGAGTAAGAATGTAAACAACAAAACAAATAATGCTTCGATGGGTTAGTTGTCAATATTAGCCACCTAATGTATGTTATTAGTCAAAATACAGTTAGATTTAATAAAACACCAAACTTTATTAAATTTAGGCTAAATTAATTATTTGGCTAAATGGTTAACTCATGTGGCTTTCTGTCAGGAATGTGAAATGATAAAAAATAAAATTGAATGCGTGACCAAATTATTATCAGCATTTATTCCTTAATACAGTATGAGGTGCACCCAACCAGGAGTGCTCTGCTGCAGCCCACCACAGAACCAACTCAAGCGTACATTACTACGTAAATATATGCATATATACTGTAGGGTGTTAGACATAAAAGGTATGTTTAATGTCCATGTCGCCTTGTAGTACCATATGCCAACCACACACTCCTCTCGAAAGTTTCCTTGTAATTCATTAATCATTACGAGTTTTCACTCGTATCTAACCACAGCTTAACATCATCTTTTACGAATTAAGAAATGGTGACATGTAATAAAGTTAAATTTTACACTTCATTACTGAAATAATGAGACTAAAGTGGGGTTATAAAAAAAATAGACTCATAACAATTCATGAATTTTAAATGGACCAGAACATTCTAGCCTCCACCTGCAACATGTTGAGGAGGAATAGGACACAAAAACATAAATATACCTTCATGGTTCCGGAGTGCGTAAACTCCCTAGCGAGCCAGCAGCCCCTCACTCGATGTATCTCTCACCGTTACACACAGCTGACTGAGGCTGACTGGCTGCGTTGAAAGTTTCACGGTTTCAGACAATTTCAGTTTCACATACTGTACTCGTCCCACGGTCCCAGTAGATACTGACAAACACCATTTTTTAACTACTCTACATTTCCTCATTCAAAGTTCTGGAATTAAAAAGTTTAAATATATCAAGTTCTCAAACTCATATCTTCTTATAACAACTGATATAGATAAACACAAATCTGTCTTCCCACAGGCCCTTTAATATGGAGTGAAGACTTTAACTTGTCTCCCGTTGGAAGCTTGAACATGGTCCTGACGTTAGATCAAACAAAATTGCCAGAGCGACATTTGAGCCAATAAATTATCTACAACTTAGATTTTATTTATTTTCAAATGATTTAAGTGCAAATCATGGAAAAATTCTCGTGTTTCTTCCATTTTCTGTTCAATCAAATTTATATATTGTATTGAAGGAATATGTAGGGATACGATCAATTAGTTCTCTCCGTGCGTGGCTCCTCCCACTCGGTTCATTTGACCTTGTTCATTGGAAATCCACGAACAGTGTTTCGTAACACAGATTCTTTACCAATAATTCACCTAATGTAGACTATCTTATTGCTAATTTTCACATCACAAGCTGTTTCTACTTTAGAAGCATTTATAACTGTACATAACTTGGTAGATACTGTCGACAGTTTCGGACTAATGGAACAAACCCCTTTGATAATTTACAATAGCAACGCACACAAACATTCACATGCTTGGCAACGAATACAATAATCAATACAACTCCTTCTATGAATACCAAATAGAAGTGAAGAATAAATACTGCTCTAACGACAATATGACGGATAATAAGAGTGCAGGCCGTGAAAAAAATTATTTTTGCGAACAAATAATATAGTACTTTTACTTATTACTTTTATGCTTACGCGGTCGGTCACGTCTCTGTTTCACACTGTACATAATGTATCTGTACCTGCTCCAGTGATGGTCAAGTCTGGTCTTAAATGAGCTCACACTCAAGGCCATCACAATTGCTCTAGTTAGATCATTATCAACACGGGCTAGGAACTGGTTCAGTTTGAACTAAATAACGTAGGCTAACCTAACCCAACCCGAATAGTGGGAAATTATACAATTTTGCCGAAAAACTGACTGATAAACATGTGAATACAGAACGCATAAACACAGAATTATAACACATCATACGTGACCATGATCAGGAAGTAGATAGACCACAAATATATCAAACACAGGTGCAGCATAGGACATCCAACAGCTGCAAGCATGTTGACACTCACCAAAATCTTTATCGCCTTCATTGGTCGACTTACTGTACACATTCCCTGTAAATATTACCTTGTTTTTTTGTGTGTGTGCCTATACCTGGTTTTCTCTTTACTTGCATTTTGCAAAATTGTTGGGTGAAGTCAAATACGATGGATCGCGGTGTTCATTAGAGATGATGCGAACCATCTTCTTGCGTTTGAGGAAATACGGTTTGACAGCGCTGACCATGTTCTCAGGAGAGGGTATAAGAAATAAACTGTCAAAGCTAAAGGTTCATAAGAGTGCCGGCCCAGAGTGTTAAGACAGTTGTGAACTATTTGTCTAACGAGCTTGCCCAGTACATTTACTAGTGATTGCCAACTGAGACGTAACCGACCATTTGAAAACTTATTGAATGAATTAACTTATGAATAAACAGCCCAATCTAATTCTCTTCTTTTTTCAGAAATATTTTTTTTTATTTCCCCACAATTTTAGAGCAGTTTGTAATTGATGCCATAAACAAGAGAATGTCTCTACCTGACAACATATAAACAGACTTGTACGGCGCCACAACAAACACCTACAGAGGGGTTCTGCCTGTAAGAAATTAAATTCTGTGATTATCCTCACCACCATAATGTCAGACAGAAGCACACAACTAAAGAATTCCATCAACCAGAAACTTGTTGAAACGGGAGAAAAGGAAAGATTGAAGGATATGCTCAGACAGAGACTTACTGAATGTGGCTGGAGAGATGAACTTAAAGTGAGTTGACGTATGCGACTGAATTTACACAGCTAATGTATGTTACCAAAGTAAGGAAATTTAGGGTAATATTTAAGGACTAGCCCTAGTTATCCAACCACCTAACAAAAAAATTATATACGAAAACTTAATTCTTACCTCAAAAAATAAACCAAGTTGGGTGGGGGAATAGCCCTTTGTTTTTTGTTTTTTAATAAATACGGTAATTATATAGGTCTAACCTGCGAGAGAAATTGATTGAAAAGAATTATAAAAACGACGGATTTCCATTGTTATATTATAGTGGAGATTGTTGTAGTTTGTGGAAATATGTTTAAACATTTTTATTTTTAAAATAAACGCTACTTAACATTTGTGGGTATGAAGAACAGACCTAATCAACCAAACCAAACAAACCTACCTAACGTTACCTAACTTCCCCGGTGAAATTTGAGGTATTTTCTGGACGTGAGATGATACGGCAGCATCGGCGCTATGCAGCCCTGGCGGGTTAGTCCTGTACAGTATATATTAACCTTAAATACTTTGACCATCATCCACCTGCTGATACCATGTTTCCATTTGAACTTTATTGATAACGTTTCCCAGCAACTGACCGAATGCTAAATGTCAGGATTTTAGACTATCACCAGAAGGAGTTGAGAGAATTGGATGAAACTTTGTGGAAATGTAAATTGCAGTCTATTAAATATATATGTACTGTAAATGGAAAAAAGAATCCATTCAGTGTCATTAGTTCCAGTACGTTTTAAAGGTTTTTCTGGTAAGTTAGGTAGATTACTTTAGGTTAGGTCAAGTTCTAATAGGTTCTGTGCATTCTCGTTTCCATTTATCTATTTAATAGATTGTAAATAACATTGCCACAAAGTTTCGTCCAATTCTATCAACTCCTTCAGGTGTTAGTCTAAAAAAAATCCTAACCTAATCGACAACCAGACAAATATCCACAGCCAATTTTAATATCCTAACTTAATTGACCTAACCTACCTAACCAAACCTAACCTGGAAGTGTTCATGTGCATGGAAAGGACAATGCTGGAAAGCATTCATGTGCATCACTAAACTAATACCTCTATGGAAATGTTGTACAAATATATATATATATAAGAAGGAATTAACATCATCAATACAAAATAATTCTTAAGATGCTGTTCCTTAGCAAGTATGATACGGAATATCGTTAATGTCCATGAAATGTGAAAAAAACAGTTGAATCTCAAGCATTCAGGTAAGGAAAAAGCTATTGATATTACTGTAGTGTACAGAACAATTGCATGCCTGAGCCGTCATGTTACGGATATTTCTCTATAAAAAATAATTAATGCTTTTTACTTTATAAGAAGGCCATCACCATCCTCAAAGAGTTAATTCCATTATGTATAATTTTTTAACCCAAACTCTGACATGTTTAGCCATGAAAGCTCTTGATCAGTATTACCCAGAGAAGTTACAGTATAGGTGGTGAAATACTTTAGCAGACAGAATCAATCATTCATTAAATTTTGTTGAAAGAAAAGTAAAATATTGTATCATCTTATTATTCCACATTTTTATAGGATCGTGTAGATGTCTTGCTTAATTTATAACATGCAGTTTAGGTGTCAGAGTATGGGAAAAATGTGGTGTTTGGGGTGTTGTTTTAATGTTTGGGTGTGTCTTTGAGGGAATCTTTATTGAAATACTTGTTTTAATTTATTGAATGAAAATTCAGTTTGTGAACCTAATCACCTCTTTGGAGATGGGAGATTATATAATCAGTTCCCTTAGTAACAAGGGCTTTTGGCTAAGGGTTGTTAGAAAATATTATCTCAAGATCAAGTCCTCATATCTGTGATGATACAGTAATTCACCACAACCTGGTTTCCTGGGAATGCCACAGAAAGTACAATACAGTACACTACTGTATTGTGCATATTTGTGGCCCCAGACTACCTAAATACTGTATAACAATATAACATGATGTAAATCCTGAAAACTGTCAATGAGTTTTTTATTACTGTATTGTTCTTTCCAGGAACATGCAAAGGAGATAGTGCGTGAGAGAGGATTACAGCAAATAACAGTTGATGACTTGGTGAAGGAAATCACACCACAAGGCAGACGTAAGCATATACCTGTACTGTATTGTAATAATAATTATTGTTGTAAAGAATTTATTATTAGACATTTTTTGTTTGTAATTAGATATTGAAATTGTATATTTAGGCATTAATAACATGTTTAAAACATGTTCCATAGATGTACTGTACCAGTGTATAGTGCATGTGAAAAGTATATGTACCTCATCCTGGAGCTCTACTTGTGTAAGAAGATATGAAATCAAATATTTGCATTGCACAGTATCGACTTTTTCTTCTTGAAATTTGCTTTTTCCTGCATGCATATACTGTACATGAATGAGTACAGGGGGTCCCCGGGTTACAAATGGGTTCCGTCCCTGAGGACGTTCTTAAGTAAAAAATGTACGTAAGTCGAAACACAAGCTCCAGTATATGCATACTGTACTTACAGAACAATGTTTAAAATCCCACTATATTATAGCTTAAGTCCTTATATACATCTAAAAATCACTTAATTTTAGAGAAAAGAAGAAATAAAATGACAAAATACAGTAAATGAAAGATTAAGTCATTGGGTAAATAAAATACTGTAAATTTAAATTTTAACCTCGTTAAGTCGGACATTCTTAAGTCGGGGACCCCCTATATTTATGTACTGTATTTGAATGATTGATGTGAGTGAAGGCAGGGTAATGTAAGGCCATTATAGCCCAAATTCTATCAGTTATAAAAGTATTGTAGTAAAGTTGTGATGTGCTATGGTAGTAAAGTTATGTACTAAGCAGTATGATAGGGTATTGCTTATACAGTGCTGTAATGGACAGATGAGAAGATCCTGGGGGTGTTTATAGAAATGGACGGTTTTCAGAAAATAAAGAGTTTAGCACAAGTTTGTTTTGCAGGAAGTTAGTTAAAGAGATATGGACATGGAGTTCAGGGTGTAGAAAACCATCTTATTCTGGGAGGATTGGAACAAGGTTGCCTATAATGGTGAAATGGGATGGATAATATGCCATTAAATTCTTATATGAGGGAAAAACTCATGAATTTTTGTTTAGTTTACTGAAGGGCAACTGAAAAAGAGATATCCTTTAAGTTGCTTTTAAAATTTGTAATTGTTTACAGACAATTTTTGTCTTTCATAGAATTGGTACCCGAAGCAGTGAAGCGTGAACTCCTGGCAGAAATAAAAAAGTTCCTATCTTCCCAGACCCAGTGACCAGGTGTAAGCTATTGGTGTTTAGATTACATTTGGTTTGGAAAACAAAACCGTGTTCATCTTATCAAACGAATGCCATTTATGTACTCTATTGCACAGAAGGAAATGCTATTTGTAAAGTTACAGAGGCAGATATAGGACCTCTATATTTACCTATATTTTGAAATTTGGGGTTTTCATTTCAGAGATTAACTTCTTGCCAGTCTCACTTATTGTTGTATGGTCATTCACACTGAGTGTACAACAACACACAGTATTTGTAAATCAGTTTTAATAATTATTGATGTAAAATCATTATTTCACTGCTCTTTTGAGGTAAAATTTCATAAATTATTTAATTTTTGTTTACAGTACTGTACTTTTGTCTTTTATTCACTCATTAAATTACTTGTTACGGTTTCTTTCAGTGTTATTCTCTTCCATTGTACTTATATGAATCTCAGGCAAAACCAGAAGTATACAGTATAAACTAAATGTATTGAGGTACCCCTAGGATATGATGCATTATACCTACATGTGTTTGATATGACCAAATATTTTTTAACGGAACATTTGGACTGTACTACAAATATGTAAAATAATCATGAATTTTTTTAGTACCTTATACAGTACAGTATTTACTTTTTTGTCTTATGGGTCAACAAGTGACCTGTGAGATACTTCTAATAGATCTCCCTATGGTTCAGTCTGTCATGGTTAGGGAGTATGACATATTCTAGCAGCAGGCTACTTAGTTATATAAGACCATTGTAAATGTTACGCCACCGTGGGAAGAATATCTTCTTTTTGTTCAAGCTCTGAATGCGACGTTATAATTTTTATAATATTTTTCTAAGCAGTCAATTTTATGCACATATGAGGTAGGGGGTCTAAGAGTGTGTGAGCAGTTTAAAGGTTAATTGCTTATAACTTGTGGGGATACACTGCCCATAATACTAATGATTAAAGCCTCATTTTTTTTTAAATTTTTCCATCTATTTGGTAAACAATACTTGGAAAATCTTTTTAGTAGTTATTCACTACTGGTCTTACTGGAGGTGATCAAACATGCATTTTTATTAGTTCTGTATGTGACCAGATATTGGTTTCCCACAGGCCCAAGCTCACCTGACTGCATGGAAACCTTGCATTTGTTTCAATTTAATCCTTGCATTTGTTTCACTTTAAACCTTGCATTTGTTTAAATTTCCATATTACAGTATTTCTATTATAGTTTATTATTATGATTATTACAGCTGCACGTGGCTCTTATGATTTTGATGATGTGTGTTTTAGCCCTCATTTTAATTGACATTAGACAAATAAAATATCAAAAGTGACGTCCCCATAGCGAAGGGGTTAGTGGTGATTCAATAAACCCTTGATAACTTGGAATATATGGGGTTCTCACTATTCTGAGTTAAGAAGGCACTTTCCTCCGTCCTTTGTCTCACCCCAATGCCCAACATTTTGGCCAAAATAATCTACCATAATCAGAAAATTTCACAAAATTTAACACTTACTAGCACTGCAGGCAAAGGATGAGGATAATTCAAGCTTGTAGTGCCATGTGGTAGGTGTTAGAGGTGATGGGGGTGGGGCTCACTGCACTACAGTATACTGTATGCAGTAAGCACTCACAGCACCAAATTTACCAGAGAATGCTTGGGGGGTGTTCCCTGAACCAGTGCTCAAGAGAGGACGCCGCCAAAGTTAGCTCTCAGTATTGTAGATACATTGGTTCAGCAAAATAATGTAGCCTACTACTAGAATATGTCAAGTCCCCCAGGCCATAGCAAGTTCTGCCAGGGAGTGGTGTTCTGATGTTGATGTCACACAGGACTCTTATTTTCCCCTTGCTTATTGCATAGGATTCCATGAGTTTGATGTCCATTTTTTTATTTTTGGTGTGACATATATCGTAAGTTGGCTGGAAGCAAATGAATATGACTTAATTGAACCCACTGAGATGGACAAGAAGTGATATAAGAAATGAAAACTTTTAAGTCACAACTGTAAACATGAGATATAAATAAGGAGTTTATTACTATGAAACATTATTACCTTCAATATACTTGGGACATCTTTAGATTAAAATGTGTATTTTTTTTATTTATTGTAAGTCAGAAGTGGCTGGAAAAGGTTTACGGAGTTGCCTTTATTGACGGCAAGAGGACTTTCATTTTGTGTGAAAGGAAAGAAGTATGGTATGCAATTGGCACAAGAATGTGAAATATAGCAGTCAAATATGGGCAGGTAAAGAGGATGACATATGCAGTCTTGAGCAAGTTGAAATAATAATGGTGGGGTGGATATGTCATGTGACATTGAAAGATAGGAAGCCCTGTTCAGAGATAAGAGGGTAATTTATTTTATTTATTTTGGGGGGATGAGTTAGTACAATATATAATTCTAGTGTGAAAAGAATGGTAATGAAACATAACTGCAATTGTACTGAACACTAGGTATTGACAAAATCGGTGATATTTATGATAATAAGCACTACTGTACTGTTATAATATTGAATTTCCTACACATCACAAAGCAGTTTTGAAAGCGGTTTTCAGGCACTACAAATAAATTTTCTATATAATTCATGTAGTGTTCTTAACCCATTAAATATTGTACAAGTGTATTTTGTATACAAAACTTTTTGATGTAAGATAGTATAACCATGAAATATTTCAATAGCCTAATATGATTATGAACTTTCACTACTACAGTATTATGCTCCTGGCAGAGCCTGCAGTGATCAGGGGGCTGTATAATATATAGTTATATCTCTGTTAACCGGAACAATTGGGGTAGAGCACTTCCGGGAATGAGAGATTTCCGGGTAACTAGACGACTCTCTCTCAGCCAAAAAAAATCCTTCATCCCCAGAATTTTCCAGGTAACAGAAAAATGTTCAAGAAAGTTCCAGAAACATAGCATTACATCATCTCTCAATGCCAGAAAATAATCCTTCATCCCCGGAATTTTCGGGGTAATGGAAAAATTTTCTCAGAATTTTCCAGAAAATGTGCCCCTCGGAAAATCGTTCCCAAAGAAGGAATTTTCCAGAAAATTCCACAACCTCTGAACTTTTATGGCATAAATAAATTTTTTTTTATCCGTCTAGCAAGGAATGACCATGAGTTAAAGTCAAGAATGAAATTCCTAATAAAAGTTTGCTTCAAAAACCAAAATTAATGTGCCCTAAGTCAGGAAAAGGTCATTCACTATCCGAGTTAAAACCTATAATGCATCATAACCATAGTGTGCCTGGGTGCAATTATTAAATAATAATATCCATTTGAAAATGAAAAAAGTCTGATCATACCTCAGGGACAGCAAAGATAATGCCATCACGATGTCTGCTTGGACTTGTGGGACAATCACTGCATAATTTACAAGCTATTGTTAAATTCGTTTGATGATCCCTAATGCCACAGTGGTGAAATACCTGAAGAAAAAAATTTTAAGTTTTGTCCACTGAAAATAAAGTTAATATATTACACTTTAAAATGAGAAACAAACAAAAACCATTGCTTAACATTATATGAAGGACTATATCTACAAACTATTCTTATGCAGGTTATTAAAAGTAAATTGGAGTAGAAGAAGGTGAATAAAAGAGTGAATTAGGTAAATGTAAGATTCTAGAGAATGAAAGTGTAGAATAAAAAAATACAGAGGGAATATTAACAGAAATAGGAGAAACAGTAACTGGGTGGTTAAAACATTTTGAAGAATTCATGATCCAGTACTGTACCTAACAATGGTAAAGAGGTAGAGGCAGTATAGCACATATGTTGGTAGATGGAGGCACCTATATCATGGGAGGGAAAAGTGGAATACTGTAATACATTCAAGAGATAAGAGACCTGAGACAAGAAAGAAGAAAAGTAGTGATAAAGCACACTTAAGGCTCCTATATTGTGGTCACCTCCTCAGAGGGTTGTCCCCAGAGTGAATCATAGTAGGATAAGCATTGGTGTGACTGCACTAAATAAAACTTCATGTATGAGAGGTAATAGAGGCTATATGCCATAATCGAAAAGCCCAACCAAAGTCCATGGTGTCACCTTGATCCATTTCACTATGAATATCAGCCTGCCACAGATGCACCATCATGTAAACTGTATAACTACTACTGTAGCTGTAGTAGTTATACATATGCAAACATTTTATGCTTACACAAAGAATGAATTCCAGATGGCAGACAAACATTTCACGACACCATTCACCTTAATATACAGTATACTGCATTAGAATAAAAGACTGCGTTACAATCACCATCATACATAATAAAACACAAAAGGAAAAATAAAATATCCTCTCAGCTGATCCACTAGAAAACCCTAGAGATCTATATGGCTAGAGTACAACAGGAGAAATGTGTGGTTTAGAGGCAAAAGGAGCCCAATTGTGGTTCCTTCAGAATTCACGTGTGGATCAAATTTGGTTTTCACGTTGGTGATTGTGAAGCTTCATTGGCCTTTGAAGCAACCACTGGGCTAGGAGTATGAAGCATTGCTATGACCCAGGTTTACTGGGTGAGATGCTCAGTAGCAATTTACACTGGAAACAAGATGATGCGTCTACTCCAGTACAGTACTGTACTATAAAAGTAATATCTCCGTTCGCCAGAATCCCTCTTATCCGAAATTCTCCGATAGCCGGAATTGAAATTTTCTTGGAAAATCGTTCCCAAAGCTCATCAAAATATTTGTTTTTCTCTTTTTACACGTACTGTACTGTAGGACTATATGGGTCTCTAGTACAGTACATATATATACAATTCAAAGCTATCAGTTTACTCAAGTCTCTTGGTCCCAAACGTTTTGGATTTCTGATACTCAATTGTACAGTCATGAAGTACCAGGGTTTCACAGGCTTCTCTTAATGGAGTTGTTAGGCCCTAACTCGTTTGATCATGTAGTTCATATATATTTGGCTCACTAAAATGAAAGATTAACAGAGTCAGGACTCCTGAGCTTAGATTGGTGCTTGTTGATATCTCTGGTGATCTGCTACTGGCAGGTGGCAGCAGGTTGACCTCAATCATGCAGTGTCGGGCCCCAGGAGAAGTTAGCAAGACTGCACTGGTCTTTTTGATGACCTGAGGACCCCCCCAGACACAATCATAAACATGTCAACATAATGACTTCTGGTGCACCTCCATCTTGGACTCATTTGAAATGGATCTCTCTCAAAATATAAATTACTTCCTTCGTCTCTCTGACTTCTGCATTTTAAATAATTAATTCTGGAAATTTAATATTTGTAAATGCAACAATGGGAAGTTATACATTTTTTATTGTTATTTTTACATAATCTGGAAAAATATTACATCCTCTTAAGCGTTGAATTGACACAGTATTTTATAAGGTAAAATTGCCCAAATAATTGATGTCAAAATTTCCAGAAACTTTCAATTAGAAAGTAGTATCTAGCAGCTACCAAACTCATTATTTTTGCTTTTATGTTTTTTTTGATGGAACATAATTTTATGAAATACAGGGTAGTAACAAAACTAAATTAATATAATACCAAACCAGTTTTTCATAAAAACATTGTACTGTAGAACAAATCATGTAGTTAAAATTTTAGTACAATATACAGTATTTTGAAAGAAAATAATATAACAAATGAGATTATTGCTCAGGGATGTTAAGGAATAATTTGTGGGGCTATAATTTGACATCAAAATGAAAAGGTATACGTATATTAATTGTGTTAAGCTGAAATGAATATCAAATAAAAAATATGAATTTAAATAATACGTATTCAAACTTATCATGTTCATGGTATGTCTTTAATGAATATGTAAACAAACATTTTTCATATTCACCACCTCGATGGACAATAACAATAAGGCAGGAAAAATTTCCAAAACAATATTCTGAGCTTTAGATAAACCACGTTTAAATAAACATTTAGTTACTTTTTCACCTAGTAATTATAAGAAATAAACTGACATTTATGATGGTGTTTTTATTATTTATCACTTAAGAATAAAATATACTGTAAAACATTAAAGATTCCCGTTCAACGGTCATTTGTTACGGATGAAAAAAAAGAAGGAAAACTTGGTTAAATTGCCAACTTCTATGAAACCTTATTATACTAATAATTATTAAATGCCTTTCATAGTCCAAAAAAAACAACTCCTAAACAAGGAAATAAACTATACTGTACCAGTATGCAGAATACTCTATACCTAGAAGTGTTATCAGCTTGTGTTGCTGTATCATCTCAGACTGGCTGGCCTTTTATTTTTACCTGTCAAACATGGGATTTGGATACAGTATAGCTCTTTTACTTTTGCTACCTGTCTTTAAGCCTTTTACCTGCAAAAATATGAGCAAATGCCAGAATAAAGATGGGGAGCAAGAAATTTGGCTCAGGAGTTCGTTAATATACTATCTTATTACAACAGCATCCAGACCACTGGTCAGTCACTCGCTCAACTCCGCCAAGTTGCCTGGTACTGTTATTTGAAAGAATCGTACTGAAAACTGTGACATTCCTTCTAAGGCCGATTGTACAGTAGCTTATATGTCTCATACCATAGGAATCATAACAAATTAATGAAGATGGCAGAGATTTTAGGAACTGAGATATTCTTGTAGGGAGAACCAGATGCAGAATATCACATCTGAATGCAACAAGACATGCTAATTAGAGTTAAGGTATTGTTCATAAAGAATCAACCTGTGTTGTTTTGAAGTTGTTGGTGAAACAATTTGAAAATTTACTGTTGTAATGTATCTTCCTTATAGTATGCAACTCACAAAACATCCTGTATATTAATATGATTTACAAAATGAAAGAGCTTACAGGATCAAAAATATTTTTGCATCTACAGAACTTACATATGATTTTGCAAAAATAAATCTTACTTCATACACTACACCAATACACTTATTTCAAAGAAAATTTACAAATCTAAATGGAAGCACATATACATACTGTATTTATATCAAGAAAATTCTCAGAATTTCTTTCACTGTCTACATACTGGTCAATTTTACAAGGAAATGGGCAAAACTCTTATCCAAA